CACATTCGAGCCACGATTTGGTCTTTAAAATATGGCGGAATAATAAGACTGAAGCGAGTTTCAGAGTTTTTTTGTCTCTGATTGTGAGTTACTCGTAACCAAATATCAATGGCGGTCAGTATAAAACACAGACTGCGGACTGCGGACCACGGACTGCGGACTGGGTATAAAATACAGACTAACTATAAAATGAGGACTCCGGACTGAGTATAAAACACGGACTAGGTATAAAACGCGGACTACGGACTATGTATACAAAAACGACTTTAGAAAGGTAAAACTGAGAGAAATGGAAAGCAGACTAGCAAAAACAGTAGTCCCGAACAGTAGTCCCAGCTTTTACATTCCCTTGGCTGTTCACGTAGTCTATTCTTCCCACGGAGAAGGAAGGTCATGCCGGTACTCAAGGCAACTGAAATTAAACTCTGAATTTTATAAAAAGAGGGAGTTAGAAGAGATTTCAATTTGCAGTTTTAAACCAATAAGAAGCACCGAATTAAAAAAGATAGTATTAGTGTTAGTCAGATCAGTAAATTTCTTATCGGATGCCACAATTCCATTTCAAATAAAGCCTTGGGAATATGAGGACTGAATGAAGAACTCAGACGAGAAGGTCAATGTAGGGGCATTCCGCGATGCACAAAAGCAGTATTTAGGGGGGGAGGGATAACTCAAATACATGAATAATACCCGAAATGAATCATCCAACGGTATATTCTAAGCGATGATTATGATGACATGATTTACACCCTGCTCCTGACCCCCGGAGGGGGGTACTACTGGGAATTCTTGTTGGGGGTGTGGTGCCCGGTTCTCCGAATCCTGACCTTATTGCAGACCAAAAAATGTCATTTTCCACTCCCGTTTTCAGACCAGATCTCTAAAATCCATACCCATTTTCGGACCTGGAGCCCGTTTCTCGAAAGTCCCGATAATTAACGGGCCCGGTAAGCTGTCTCTGTCTACATAAAGATCGAGGTTTCAATAGTTTTCCATAACGTGATAAAACTGTCAGTTAATGAAACAAAATGGAGTTGTTTGCTAGCCAGGACCCGCATTCCATTCTTTATATTTCGATTTGAATATTTGATTTCGGGCCCGTAAAGTTACCGGGACTTTCGAGAAACGGGCCCCTGGCCTAATTTAGCCGGTTCCAGGCTCTCAGATGGTTGGGGAGACTCCCCACTTTTCTCCCGTTTTATTTTCGTGTTTTCGCTTTCTCAATTCAGCGGACCCAACTATCTCATCATTACCAAGTTAGAGCGGAAACAAAAAAAATTGCCAAATGCATTTCGAATTCGCACATCTCTATTTCGTTCTTATTCATTTGGAATTGAAACGATAAATACGTCCATTCATGTACGCTCCCGTAGTTCCCTCGAAAACCATACCCGATTCCACACCAAAATGGGCAAAGTGTTTCAAGACCAAAAAGGCCCAAAACTCCTACCCTTTCATTATTTAAGGGAGTACCGCCCCTGACCCTGACCCCTTTCATGATTGTTAGAGACCGAGACAAGGTCTAATGAAATGGGTGTAGAAAACAGCACTTTGATCCGGTTCATGATTTAGAGAACCGAGCAGCACACCACCACCAAGACTGATTTATTGGAGTATTTACAACTTTAACTCGCGTGTCTCGCTATTTAGCGATCTTTTTTATCTTATTTTTTCTTACCTAGAACCAATTAGCACCGTTTTTACCAAAGTAGCCCGTAGTCCGTATTTTATACCCAGTCCACAGTCCGCAGTCCGCGTTTTATACCTTGTCCGTGTTTTATACCCAGTCCATGTTTTCCAGTCCGCGTTTTATACCTAGTCCGTATTTTATACCCAGTCCGCACTCCGTAGTCCGTAGTCCGCAGTCCGCAGTCCATCTTTTATACTGACCGATATCAATGGGTACCACCGGAATATTTATATCAAGAAACATCAAATTTAAGACCTTACCTTCGATTAATGCCAGCTTATCGGATTTCACTGGGTTTTTCACGCTAAAAACCAACCAAAAAATCGCCATTTTTGTATGGATTACAACCAAAGTTTGCAGAAATCGCGAACGGTTACCACCTGATATCGTGACACCTCTTGTCTGCCTTTAAAACCACCACAGTCTTTCAAACCAAGGATTGTGATAACAACTGGGTTTTTTGTTTTCCTTTGAATTTGACCTGAACCCGTTAGGGGTAGCCAGCGCGAAGAAAATTTCCACAAAACGTCTTTGAAAGCCAAAAAAAATTTCTCCGTGTTTCGGCCGCCATCGCCGCCATCCTTTCTATTTTTCAAACTTGTTTCGAGTACTCTTTGACCGTTTAATTGTTTTTACCTCATGTATGCTTCATTCAGAAGTGTCATGGCTAAAAACGGCAAAATACCAACCCCTACCCAGACGGGAAACTTTTTGTTGACCTCAAATGGACTGGGAATTTTTTAAACTTGCCATAGCAAAAATGGTTGGAGCAAGAAGCACTGGTAACGTACAGAGAATACATCAGATGAGCAAATTTCACCACCAAGCCTTGTTTGTGAGCAAAATTCTTCGCATTTGCACTCTTTGTGCGTACGTTTTCTTTTCAACTGTGTACTGCCTTGGGAATTCATTTATGTAAAACTTCGCAACTTTATATTTTGAAAAAAACATGCATAAGGGCTATTTCTGAACTTTGATATTCTAATAAAATTATACATGTAGCAACAAAGAAGACCAGTATGCATCTATATGTACACAAGCCCTTAGGAGCTAGTGATGGAAAATTATCACTTATGTGTTGGTCAGAAGAAGAGATTGCCCTGCATAAAGGACTCACAGAAGAGCACTTATCAGCTTGTTTCACAATGAAAACAAAATTGGTGTACACGGCCAAGTTCACGTGTTAGGGACAGCATGAAAATAAAGGCTGGTTTGTTAAGTGGCTGAAACATTCTTTGTGTATTTTGAGGCATTTATTCTAGAGACTGCTGTATAAGCCTCAGTGATGTACTATTCATCCCTTGAAAAAGTAATTACACTGTAGTATACCTTTCAAACAATTTAAGAAAACAAAGTAATAATGCCTTGGTGGGAGATTACTTTACAGATTTTCTGTAAGTATATATTAAAATCAACTAGACTTGATTCATTTTCGATCCCTCAATTGAGAAGTTGCTTTTAATATTATTATATATCGTCTGCGCGCAGGCTAGATTAAAGCAAGCGTTCAAGATCAGTTTTTCGAGCCGGGTGTTAGAAAGGGATGGAGGGACTCAATAGGCCCCCTTTGCAGCTAGCCATTCACGCAGTAGAAAACCGCCATGCTGGAGAGCAAACGTCACACACTGGGAAAAGACAATCAAAGGTAAATACTATTTACAATAATGTATGCCTTTTGTTTGTCTTGTCCCAGTGCGACTAACTCTTCAGTGCCGCTCCAGTACGACGGCATTGCCCCACATGAATGTATAGCTGCAAAGGGCTTACTCCCCTATTTCCCTTCCGCTTACAATGCCTGCCATCTAACAAAAACCGGTCTCAAGCGTCTGGGAGCGCTTTCTTTTACAGTCAAGACATCGCAGACGATTATTTTCCTGCGCACCCCGCTGCGAAGATCAGTAGTGCCTTGTATGAGTACAAGGGTGCACTGACACCACTGCTGCAGGGGCAGTCGTATATGTGAAAATGGCGGAGATGTTTGTTGGCAGAGTAACACCTCCCACTATACTTTGGGTTTGTCTCCATCTTGCTTTATCTCATCTCTTAAGGTACCATTGCCAAAATAGAGCTACAACAGGACTCCTGGCGAAAGTGGTTTTACTTGGAAGTACGATGACATCGACGCTTTCTTTCTTTTATATCCTCACTGACAGCCCGAAGAGCCACATGCATTGGTCAAACTATTGGCATTCCTTAACAGGTCCTGAACACGGCAAGTGACATCAGAATGTCAAACCGACCCTCTCTCCCTCCCAACCGCTTCTCCCTCCCAACCGATTTTGGCTCGTCATGCAACGCCTTTCCCCTTTCCTTGGGAGAAGCATTATGTGATGAGACAAAAAACGACTGCGTTGAGAGACTACTATCGGCACTGACGAAGGCAACAAGCATCCCTGCCACTTTTCCATGAGAATCCCCAATATGAAATTTATGGTAATTTTCAGGGGTTTTCTAGGGCTGAAAAACGAGGAAGAATCTTAATGACTTTTACTGGGTCCGATCAGATTATTTTACGAATCGAGAGATTTCCTAAGAGATCCAGGAGTAAAACGTAGGCAAGCCCTGTATGTTTTAGGTCCTAGTATTCATAAAAATGTTAACATCAACATCAAGGAAACAAATTAATTCAATTTTTCATTGTCATTATTGCTTTTACTATTTTATTATTTTACTTTTTTTGTGTGAAAACTCATTTTCACGATCTTTAGTTTTAATAAACTATTTTTTATTCCATATAATCAAGACGGCGAAAGGAAAAATTAAAATACACTTCTTGGAAACTCTTTCTCGCTTAAGAAAATAAAAAAACTCTGACTACGTTATTTTCCTTCAGCAACGCCTGGCACGAAACGAAAAACTTAAACCCGATTCATCCTGTTATGTACCACTTGTTTATTAAAAAACAAAAGCAATCATGGCAAAGAAAATAATGAGAAACTAGTATGTTGCTCATTGATAAACATATATTTTCCCTTTCTGTGCCATTATAGAAAATTTATGGAAAATAACGTGACGAAAATGCATGCTAATGTTACACTTTAAGACAGAGACGATAAACTTTTAAATGGTTCAGGTTTTTCTATCGGTAGGTCTAATTGACATCCTGTGTCGAACTAGTTACTGTACCTGAAATAAATATCTTTTATTCACACAACAGAGTTGCAATTTAACTAGCAAGAGTTTATAAGTGCGATGAAATAGCTGGAACAATCTTACTAGCAAAATCAGAGAAAATCAACGAACGACGTAAGTTATGATAACTAAACAATGTTGCAAATAATACTTGATCTGTGATTTTTTGGCTGAATAGCTAGGCACGGTCATTACTTTCGTTAGCCAGCAGCTGCTGGGCATCCAAAACACGCCGCATATCACCTAATAAATGGTACGTACGCGCGACGTCAACATGGTCGTGTCCAAGCTTATTCAGTTGTATGTACAAGGCACGTTCATAATACTCCTTGGTCTGTTGATGCTCACCCACGTCCTCATGTAGGTTACCCATCTTATGGTACGTACTCGCGACGTCAACATGGTCGGGTCCAAGCTTATTCAATTGTATGGACAAGGCACGTTCATAATACTCCTTGGCCTGTTGATGGTCACCCAAGTCGTGATGTAGGTTACCCATGTTATGGTACGTACTCGCGACGCCAACATGGTCGGGTCCAAGCTTATTCAATTTAATGGACAAGGCACTTTCATAATACTCCTTGGCCTGTTGATGCTCACCCAAGTCCTTATGTAGGTTACCCATGTTATGGTACGTACGCGCGACGTCAACATGGTCGGGTCCAAGCTTATTCAATTGTATGGACAAGGCACGTTCATAATACTCCTTGGCCTGTTGATGGTCACCCAGGTCCTTGTGTAGGTTACCCATGTTCTGGTACGTACTCGCGACGCCAACATGGTCGGGTCCAAGCTTATTCAATTTAATAGACAAGGCAAGTGCATAATACTCCTTGGCCTGTTGATGCTCACCCAAGTCCTCATGTAGAATACCCATGTTATGGTACGTACTCGCGACGTCAACATGGTCGGGTCCAAGCTTATTCAATTTAATAGACAAGGCAAGTGCATAATACTCATTGGCCTGTTGATGCTCACACAAGTCCTCATGTAGAATACCCATGTTATGGTACGTACTCGCGACGTCAACATGGTCAAGTCCAAGCTTATTCAATTTAATGGACAAGGCACTTTCATAATACTCCTTGGCCTTTTGATGCTCACCCAAGTCGTGATGTAGGTAACCCATGTTATGGTACGTACTCGCGACGTCAACATGGTCAGGTCCAAGCTTATTCAATTGTATGGACAAGGCACGTTCATAATACTCCTTGGCCTGTTGCTGCTCACCCAAGTCGTGATGTAGGTTACCCATGTTATGGTACGTACGTGCGACGTCAACAAGGTCGGGTCCAAGCTTATTCGATTGTATGGACAAGGCACGTTCATAATACTCCTTGGCCTGTTGATGATCACCCAAGTACTTATGTAGAATACCCATGTTCTCGATAATTCCCGCCTCTTCTAAGTGGTCAGGAACTGTCTTGTTGTTTTTGTGTTTGCTGAATTTTAAACCTACATTGAAGTAGTCCATTGCTGATGGGGACTCACTATGGAGACGGCAAACATGACCAAGCACGAGAAAGTCATGCACAGTTATACATAAATCTTCAAAAGTGTTTTTGATAAATTTCTTTGTACTAAAGAAAACGTTTTTAATTTCGGCAGCTAGAGTTTTCAAGTGTGGAACAATATGCCTACTTTCAGACACAGAATCTGCACTTTGCAGGATCTTTGGTATTGCTTCGTTTATATACTTACTAAATGACCCCACCGCAAGACAAACAACTCGGACATGTTCATCAGCTTGCAGTTGTTCTTTTACTAAACTCTTGACAATATTGTGTACTACGTTATGCAAACGAATGTTGACATCATCCTCTTTGTCGATTAACAGCAAGGAGGAACCTTGGATCTGAATGCCTATTTCCTCTTCATCCAACTCTCCATCAGCATTTACAACGTAAGTAGTCAACAGGTGTAGCCTCACTGGCTCTGGTGCACAAAGAGCAAGAAAGGTAAAAGCATGCTTCATTATTTTATTAGAATCAATTTCTTCTTTAACGGCCATCCTAGTCGCTTCTGTCATAGAGTTCGGGTAGATATTGTTTACTTTGGTAAGTTCTTTTTCAGTACGTTCACGCTTTCCTTGTTCTAGTTTTTGTAAGTACTCCTCCCAGCCAAAGGTTGGAATGGTGTTTCGTATCTTTCTCACGTACACTCCTGCACTGGCTAGTGCAAGTGGCTGGTAATCCAAAGCGTGTGCTACCTTTTTTCCCATGTCATCGTCTGTGATTCCAGTGAGCTCGAATAGAAGGTTGGCAACGTCAGTGTAAATCATGCCTTTGCTTATGGAAAGGTGAGATGTGATTGGACTTTCAGGTGGGACACAGGAGCAATCTTGCGTTGTGATAAGCAGCTGGCCTTTGCCCCACTGCTCATTCCCACGCTCAGGAAGAAACTGAGCCATTGTTGCGAGATTTGTGACATTGTCAATCACCAAGAGCCAANCACAGTTATACATAAATCTTCAAAAGTGTTTTTGATAAATTTCTTTGTACTAAAGAAAACGTTTTTAATTTCGGCAGCTAGAGTTTTCAAGTGTGGAACAATATGCCTACTTTCAGACACAGAATCTGCACTTTGCAGGATCTTTGGTATTGCTTCGTTTATATACTTACTAAATGACCCCACCGCAAGACAAACAACTCGGACATGTTCATCAGCTTGCAGTTGTTCTTTTACTAAACTCTTGACAATATTGTGTACTACGTTATGCAAACGAATGTTGACATCATCCTCTTTGTCGATTAACAGCAAGGAGGAACCTTGGATCTGAATGCCTATTTCCTCTTCATCCAACTCTCCATCAGCATTTACAACGTAAGTAGTCAACAGGTGTAGCCTCACTGGCTCTGGTGCACAAAGAGCAAGAAAGGTAAAAGCATGCTTCATTATTTTATTAGAATCAATTTCTTCTTTAACGGCCATCCTAGTCGCTTCTGTCATAGAGTTCGGGTAGATATTGTTTACTTTGGTAAGTTCTTTTTCAGTACGTTCACGCTTTCCTTGTTCTAGTTTTTGTAAGTACTCCTCCCAGCCAAAGGTTGGAATGGTGTTTCGTATCTTTCTCACGTACACTCCTGCACTGGCTAGTGCAAGTGGCTGGTAATCCAAAGCGTGTGCTACCTTTTTTCCCATGTCATCGTCTGTGATTCCAGTGAGCTCGAATAGAAGGTTGGCAACGTCAGTGTAAATCATGCCTTTGCTTATGGAAAGGTGAGATGTGATTGGACTTTCAGGTGGGACACAGGAGCAATCTTGCGTTGTGATAAGCAGCTGGCCTTTGCCCCACTGCTCATTCCCACGCTCAGGAAGAAACTGAGCCATTGTTGCGAGATTTGTGACATTGTCAATCACCAAGAGCCAAGATGAGTATAGGTGAATTTTTGTCGCAATTAAATCTTTGATAATGGCTATTTTCTGTTCAGCATTCAGCTTGGAGTTTTCAGTGGAAGTTATAGTGTACGCGGGACAGCGTACTTTTCTTGCCAGTGAAAAGTATGATTCTAAAAGCGATTCTAAGTTTTCAGCAGTTAAAGTCATAACAAATGAAGGAGCACTCGTGTCTTTTCGGGCTTCTTTGTAGAAATTCTCAGCAACCAGTCCAGCCAGCTGGGATTTGCCACTCCCGGGATTGCCTGAAATATAACAAAAGCTTAAACTGTTCACGTTAGCCTTCCTTAAGGTAGTGAGCTTCTGTGACACTCTAGCAACGTCAGAGTCGCGACTTGCGATCACATGGGGAGGTCTGGGTGGAAGGACGCAAAATGGCTCCACCTCGCGCTGAAGTTGTTCTTCAAAGACCTTGCGCTGTTCTTGTGTAGTTTTTAACCTGTCTTTGTTCTCTCGAAGTTCTGCTTCCTTCTCTTGAAGTTTAGTATGCCTTTCTTGTAACTTGTCTTTTTTTTCCTGAAGTTCAACATCTTTCTGCAAAAGCTCTGTTGTTTTCTTCTCTAATTCAATAGCTTTGTCTTGAAGTTCCGCATCTTTCGTCTGAAGGTCTTTAGTAAGTTTTTGCAACTCATCGGTTGGAAAACTCTTCTGCTTACTTACAGTTTGGATGTCAGCAGTAGACAGGCCAAGGGCTCTAAATGCTGTCTCAACTTTTCCAACAATGATGCTGAAGTCTGCATTTGAGAGCTGACCTTCTTTCATGTGAGCGAAGTCTTCATTTCGAAACTTTCTAAGATCATCAACGTTGGTTCTAATCAGTGGACTTAGTCCATGGATAGAATCAGAGAACAGGATAGCATGAAATAGCATAGTGCAGTCCCATTCTGCTCTGTCTCCATTAGCCATCTTAGCTAACAATCGAGCATTTTTTCTTTGATTAGCAGGGGACTCACCGTTTTTGAAGTCCAATCCATTTTGAGGCGTGTCTTTCCATTCTCCATACGTTGCCTTGTAACGATTATCCCATTCTAAATCTGAACAGTAGTCGTAAAGCTGGGGGCAATATGTCAGTGGCTATGTGACAAACCCGGAAATAGTTAAGCTGTTCCTCCGAATAAACTTTAGAGGCCATTTAGTAACAGAGGGTAGAACAGTCTTGTACCTTTTTAGAGAAAAAAAAAACAACGTAATTTAACTACGCCGGATCAGGGTATTCACGGGCGAAATTATTGCAGGCAAATTATATTGTGGTTTTTATTAGGCGAGAAGATCAAGCCAGTGTTTGTGGCAAAGTAAAAAACCTCTTTGACTGTTTAAATTTAAATAAGAAATACAACACGAAAACTGGTTATGATAAACATTAAAAGCAGCGGGGGATTTTGGATACTTTAACGTTAACAATAGAGCTGCTTAATTAGACTCCCCCCTGCAGGCTGTACATCTGTGCAGACGAGCGAAAAAGGCGGGCGAGCAGTGGAAAAGCCCAAAAAAAGAGGGGGGTTGTGTGTGTGTGTGTGTGTGGGGGGGGGGGGGGGGAAGTTTGCTCTATATGGAGGTTATCGAGACGAGCTGTTAGTGTGTGCGGTACACCATGTGTAGGATTGTGAGTGCGGGATGACGTATGATGGTGAGGTGTACTGAAGAGATAATGGATGGGGGGGGGGGGGGTGGGAGGGAAGAATTCGGGAGATCCTGTAAGCATTTTTTTGAATACTTCAATCCGCCCACTGCCCTGCCATGAACTTCCAGAAAAAAAAAACCGTTTATTGTGTCAAAATGAGGTGCAAAATGTTAAAATGTGCCGTGTAGGAGGGTTTTACACGTTCGCTATGTTTGTTTTTGACTTTGCGTGTGTGAAGCCAACCGATTAGGGACTTTAAGAGCCAACGACGCCACGGAGACGAGAACGTCCGTAAAATCTGAATTTGCATTTTTCCAGTGTTAATCACAATTATTCCGACCCACTTACTTTGACAAATGTAGGCGAACTCTCCTGAAGTTGAATTCCAAGCGACCCTATCTCAGTTCAGAAAGAGAAATAAAATTTCGTCCTTGCATATTTAAGTTCTCTATAAATCACGATATGAGGCATTTTCCTATAATAATCGTGCAAAAACGGCAAAGATGATATGCGAAAAAAGTGATGCAGTTGCTAAGTTGTTGTTTGCGTGTTAATGACTTGAAGTTTTTGGTTTTTGGTTTTTCTACTTTCTCGTTGCGGTCGTGTGGTTAGATCGTTACGTCCCTATTGACATGGATGACGTAAGCTGTCAAAATTGACCAATCACAGGGTATACCAGGAGCTGGTATACCGCAATGATGTATTGAAAACAATGCTTACAGGCTACACTTACCCGTCTCTCCCAAGCTCCCCCCGCGGTTTTCGCGCAACTTTTCTCGATGCGCTTTCTCCGCTATCTTGGAGCCTTGAACAGTATTAGACTGCGATTAAAGACAACACGCCATGCATGCAGTCCGTCTTTTGTTCTAAGATCCTTCAAATGTTTAATGGCGTTTAGCGATTAAAGTTCGGAAAATAAACGCGGCCAGTCAAAAACGGAATAAGACGAGAAAACGAATGAGACAAGCCGCTTTTGTTTCTCCGTGCGGGTGCCTACCAAAGTATGACCTAATAGGACTGCCAGAAGCCCCGAAGGGGGGGGGAGGGGGTTATTCCCTTTAATGGTCGACACTGGGAGTCTCCGCCCGAAAGGTGTACCTTAGTCAGGCGTCAGGTATTTAAAAGGGTAGGGATTTTTTAGGTACTAGTTAATATAAGATATATAAAAGCATAGGAAAATCTGTCATTGCGTGCTGTAAAAAAGGATACCTAAATTGGTTTACAGACGCATTTTGTGGCTGTGAAAAAGTCAAGAAAATTCATGGTTTAGTGATTCATTCATATTAAAAAAATACAGAGCGTTTACAGCAGTTTACTAAGGGATGCAGCGCTCTAAACCAAGAGAAAATGTCTAAACTAGGAATGTGAAAGGCGTGCCATTTATGAATGAATGGAAAGTATACGGAAAGGGTTATCATCCACGTCAAAAATGGGACATAGCAGGATAAGGGGAGATGCATTTTGACTTATTTATATAGATGAACAAATTATGGCAAATATTCTGTAGGTTTTAAGGGAGCAATCATATGGAACGACCATCCCTCAAATATAAGAAACATAGGTTCCTATATTATGTTTAAGAAAAAAGTCAAATAGCATGTGATTTACTCTTAAAGAAAAAGTTTTTCATACTTACACTGTTTCTTAAAACAGGAATTCGAAGTATATTATGCTTTACATCTATTTAGAATAAAGCGGAGATCGTCTAAAAGCTGAACAAAACTTCAGTGCTTAATCTCCTACCTTGTAATTTTGTAATAGGATACTTGTATAAATGTGTGGTAAATATTAAGGCATCTATTTCTCGATATTTCTTTAAAAGGGGTTGGACTTCCTTGAAAAGATGTTGAGTAGCCCCCCGGGGTCCGAAGCTATCGCGGAAATAGGACTGAGAAATTGTTCGCAGTCTAGAGAAAACCAATTTAAGACGCCGTTCTCACCATAACCTATAGCTAGTGATATAAGATCACCATCAGCCTCACTTATACGGCCAAAGCCGAGATACTTTGGATAACAAAGAGTTCTGTTGCTTCAAACATCCTGCATGAATGATGGGATGCTGCGCTGGAGATTACGTGCATGGGCGTATTAATTAATTAATTTATAGAAATTTTCATACTTACTGCTTGTGTGTTTTGTATAAGGTCCTCCTCAGCCGAAAGGGAAAATGCTGTCGATGAACGATAAACTGTGACAAACTCTAGCTCAATCGAATCGGTGTTCAGCAAGCCAAGACGAATATTCAACAATTCGCTTCGTTTAGCACTTTTCACTCTTGATTACCCTGGTGAGACGTAATTTTACTGCCCATCGCCCAATCAGGGGATCAGGCGATGACAAAATATAAAATTGACAAAACTGAACCTTGCGTTTCAGCTACGGTTTATCATTTGTTAGTGTCTGCTGTTATGTTCACCAATATTTTAAAGTTAATCCTTTCAAGTAAAAATAATTAATGTTCAGTGTTTTGATGTTTTGTCTCAGTTTGTGAAAAATCACTAAGCCCACGTTCGATATATTCAAATTCTAACATGACTCCGAGGCCTGAGGAACAAAATTGCAAATTTTTCACGACTCCATTGTCTCAGCAATGTTCAGAAGAGACTTGAGCACAAAGAAACTAAACAAATATAGAAAAATGACCAGAAAGCCTCGGAGTCATGTTAGAATTTTAATACATGTATATCGAGCGTGGGCTATTGACCATTTTAACTCCCAAGAGAAACTGAACACAATGCTTATGCAAAATTTTGGTGTGACAAACAAAGAGCATTATGGTATGTTATGGTATTTCTGGAGTGGTCAATTGGTCCAGCCTTTTCAGCAGCATGACCGTCAAAAGCACTGGGTTTGAGATATCTCTCCCTTTTTCTTGGTTCAGCCAAGCTTACATAAGCTTTACATTTATTTTAAGGTAGCTTAAAGGCAATTATTATACTAATATTAAGCCAAAAACAAAAACTGTAGCATGTTCTAGGCTCCAAGATAGTGTACACGTGCATCTTAATTTTGTTTGGCTTGCTTTATTTCTGGGCAGCATCCCTACTATCCAAGAGCCTGGCACAGGCTACAAGAAGTGCAAATTCTTATATGCCATTCTAACAAAAGACATAAAATAATAAAATGAGAGTTTGAGTGCTTTATGGTAATTTTTTTTGTATTTGGCCTGGCATCAAACAAGGTGTCATCAATGCTGATAATGTTTTTTTTTGTCTATTGGTGGTGGTGGTGGTGGGGTGGGGGGGTGGGGGGGGGGCAGCACTCGGCAAAAATTTGGGTATAGGTGAGCTGCTGAGGCTTTGAAACCCGGACCTTGTTTAGGACAAAAAATTCCTAAAATACATGCCCTGTTGAGGAGAACACCCTCTATTTTGTTACCCTGTTTAGGACGAAAGACAAATGTTTGCCGTCTTGTTTCTCATTTATTGGCAATTGCTATTAGTAGAGCAAATTCGTGTTAAAGTCATTGCTTTTGTATACTTGGAGTACAAGCAAAATTCATCTAGGTAATATTCTGCTGACAGACTTCAACAAAATTATATACCCTGTTTAGGACAGAGAGGTCAAAAACCATATATACCCTGCCCTGTGGCACATACATGTACCCGTATAGGCTATATAAGGGAGTAGCCCCACTGGGAGGTCTATATAAAGTCAAATACATACAAATTCTTCTGAAAATATTCTCGATTCATCAAACAAAAGATTATGGGAATAAAAAAAATGATCCTGAGCAATTAAAAATGCCTTTCTTGATAATAATTAAATTCAACTTCTCTTCATAGCCACTAAATGTAGGGAGCTAGTATCCAAGAATGGTCAGCACACTGGACTCGTAATCTGGAGGCCCCTGATTTAAGTTGTGCCATGATTACAACGAAGTACACCAGCTGGATTTCTTTCCTTGGTATTCTCTAGTTCAACTCTTCGACCACACATAAATAGCCAACTGGTTTTCTCCTCCTGCCAATGGGGTTTCTTGTACATTCTATTAGTAATACCAGTACTTGCTACAGTAAAAGGAATTCTTTTGTTCTTGAACTCTACTGTTGTTTTAAATGTTAAAACCACCCTTTAATATGGCCTGAGAGCAGGCTTCGCAGTGGGAGAAAAGGAGGAAAAAATTGGTGTGCGAAAAGAAAAAACGCGGTAGCATGGGGAGTCTGGCCCTAGGCTACCCTTAATATATTCATAGTTGCTAACATTACATTTAAAATTCATGTGGATGAAGACTTTGTAACTGTAAGTTGTAACTCCACAACAAAAATGGTTGATTTTTTTTATAAATCTTGTTCTACATTTAAGTGGGCTTACATCCGTAACCAAAAAAATTCTGTTTCTTGAGACACTAAAACAATGTTGCTCTTACTAATACTATTAGTTATATTTTTTATTACCTTTTTTTATAAGAAATTGCTTACTTTAATGCAAAGTTGAAGTGTTAAGACAGATTGAAGTTCATTAAACAAATTAAGCCATCAATGTTAATATGCACACTGAATGAGTAGTGACTGAACCCTCACTCATTTATGGTATAAAATGTCAGATTTATAATATTTTAACAACTAATAATTATTATATAACTACAAAACTACCACCCAGATTCCCATACAGGTCTAGAAATTTTTCTTCCCTGCACAGATCGACGTGAGCCACTTGATATCCTGGAACTTGCAACACTCAGCGAATCTCCAATCATCAGACTTGACTCACTGGGAGAACGTGAAAAATGGGAGACACTCGATGTTGTACTCTTCGCACTAGATGGTCGACTTCTTGAGGCTGTTTTTGAGTACTGTTTTTGTTTTAGGTGGTCTTTGAGTAATGAGTCTCTTGACAAACTTCTTGTTGGTGTAATGGCTTCAAGTCTTTGCAGCAATTTCTTAAGAAGGAAGAAGAAAGAAAAATAATCAGTTTTAGTATAGAGTGTTTTCACATGACATCATGGCGGCCGTATTGGTGTCCCAAAACAATGAAACCGTGGCCATGTTGGTGTCCCAAACTAATCCTGTGGGAGTTGGTCTCTTTTCTTATGCAAAAACTTTCTTTTGTTCAAATAAATTTGCATAGATGATGGCCACGTGAGTGAAAACCCTCTATAGAAGTTTGAGGTTCCTTTTACATTGATATTGCTTGCCATTCCTACAACATGCTTTTTTGAGTTAGGGTTGTAACGATAAACCAATACATTGGGAAATGCTGATACAGGGTTCGCATTCTTTTGAGCTCTTCAAATTACATGACTTTCCATAACTTTTCTATCACCTTTTAAAGTTTTTCATGACCTTAGGTTTAGCTGTTACTTTCAAAAATTTTCAACACTTTTCTAGTTTTAAGGTATTTTTCTACCATAAACAGTTCAACAGACATAAACTCTCATGTTCGCTGAAATGTGTGCTGTATGCTCTGTATACATTACTCTTCTCTATCTCACATTATCCTTGCTTTGTCATAAATTATACATTAACTAATCTATCAAACAAAATTTTAATTTTCCATGACTGTCCAGGCCCGAAAAATGAAATTCTTTAATTCCATTACTTTCCAGATTTTCCATGACCTGTACGAACCCTGTGACATCCTTCCCAAGATATGAATATTAATATTTGACGAAGAGACCACAATATTGCAATACAATAATATACACTGTATGCTACATCAAAATCATTTGAAATCATTGTCTTAATCATTTTTTAACCAACCTCTGCATTTTAGCCATAATTTATGATTTACGATGAAAACAAGAAAATGCAAAATTAACCATCCCTGCTTCTCATCTTATTCTGACAGATGGTAGACAAGATGGGGAACAATTTTATTTGTCACTTGTCAACTGTGCAGTGACTTGTGCATAACTAAGCACAGAAAACTAGTCTTGACTAGTTTTGCAGAGTATTGTGCATGGTATAGTGGTCCTTGCATGAATTGCAGTCTGTATATTATTGTGAAAACTAATTAACAATTTAATATTATTGGACGAGGTTGAGCAAAATATTGTGACCAATGATTTGCCGAAGCTAAAGGCTGAGGCAAATAATTGGTCTGCGAAACACTGACAAATCACGATATTTTGCGATAACCGAGTTCAATCATTGTTTCATTATTTGATCACCGAGTTGGTTTTTTTAATAAATATCTTCTGGAAGCGAAGCGATTTGCCATTTCCATGCAAGAGTGATCGCAAGAAGGAGAAAAGCATGGTTTCATTAACGCATGAGAAGAGTAATTTATGATTTGCAGCCAAACAATTAGTTAGATGACATTGCACATTAGCAGACCATTATTTGTAGGAAGTTATTTGCAGGTCACTTGGTGGGCTCTTGGCCAATGAAAAGGAAAAAAATTTGCAATGAATGATTATTTTTATTTTTACAACCCTACATATTTTACTTTGAGTGCAATTAACTAAGTAATCCCTAGACGACTTTGATCGTCTGCTAGGTTTTCCTCCAGTTTGCCTGATTTGTCCTTGTTAATCAAAAAGAGAACATTAACAGGGGCACCCAACGACCGTTTTCTGTAAAATATCTGTTCGGAGAAGCAAATATTGCCTAGAATTTTCTTTGACTTGAGGATGGCTAAAAAGGTCTAGACGACCACATATTCATGTACAATTTTCGAAGGTAATATATCCCCTACAATTTTCTGAATTTTGATTTTTCACATTTCATTCCCCAGTTAAGGCGATTTTTTGTTGAAAAAAAGGAAACCAAAAATATTTGGATTAAAAATTGTGATAGGGAGAGGAATCAGAAAAATTCTCACTTTCGTAATACGTTAAATTGCATCTAAAATTTTCGGGAAAATAATGCTGAAGCCCTTGTAATTTCGAAAAGGCTCAAGTTCCCCTAGGATGACCGAACAGATACAAATTTCACAGTGCCGCTTAGAACGCATTTCTAGAGATCTTAAAGTACTCGGGATGGCCTAAGAACTGTTTTCAATGTGGTAGGAGGAAACCGTCGTTGGGTGCCCCTGACATTAATTAAGATCAGGCCCCAGTTGTTCAAATGTTTGATAGCGATATCCACTGGATAAATTGCTATCCCGTGGATAAGTATTTGGGAAACCAATTGCACTATCCACTGGATAGAGATTTATTCACCAGATAGCGCTATCCACCTTTTAAACCGGGCACAGGAGTTACTTGGGGCTGCCTAATTATTGGCTAAAATAGTAGTTCGTCAGGGCTTCGGATAGAAAATATTATGCAGTGTAAATAATATTTTATGCAACTGTTTTAAGGTGATTTTACTTAACACATGAATCTTCTTGGGTTCTGTATATATAATAATATGATAGAGTGTAATCTAGAGTATAAATTCACTATCTCACTTACACTGTAAACTTTAAAAACTTAACCATATAGTAACTATTAAAAACACTATAGCTTCACACAAGACCCTGAACACACTGCTGGCTAACTTTATCTGCAATTCAAAAATTTTTTAAATTTGCCATGGCAAAAATGGTTGGAGCAAGGAGCACTGGTAACATACAGAAGGAAGCAAGACAAGCAACAGCCCTTATGTGATTACATCAGATGAGCAAATTTCACCACCAAGCCTTGTTAGTGAGCAAAATTCTTTGCATTTGCACTCTTAGTGCGTGGGTTTTTTTTTCAACTGTACTGCCTTGGGAATTCATTTGTGTAAAACTTTGCGACTTTATATTTTGAAAATGAGACTTGGTGGTGAAATTTACTTCCCTGATGTAAACATGCAGAAGGGCTATTTCTGAACTTTGATATGCCAACGAGATTATACATGTAGCAACCAAGAAGACCAGTATGCATCTACATGTACACAAGCCCTATGGAGCTAGTGATAGAAAATTATCACATATGTGTTGGTCAGAATAAGAGATTGCCCTGGGAGAGGAAAAACAAGGGAATTAATTATAATTTAAAACCCTTTTTGTCTTGTTCAAGTGAGTCTATTGCTCTCCAGCTAGCTGCTTTTGTACTGCATAAACTACTCACAGAAGAGCGCTTATCAGCTTGTTTCACAATGAAAACAAAATTGGTGTACACGCCCAAGTTCACGTTTTAGGGACAGCATGAAAATAAAGGCTGGTTTGTTAAGTGGCTGAAACATTCTTTGTGTATTTTGAGACATTCATTCCACAGACTGCTGAAAAAGCGTCAGTGATGTATTATTTATCGCTTTGAAAAGTAATTACATTGTAGACTGTATACTTTTCAAACAAATTAAGAAAACAAAGTAATAATGCCTTGATGGAAGATTACTTTACAGATCTTCTGTAAGTATATATTAAAATCAACTAGACTCGATTCATTTTCGACCCCTCAATTCAGAAGTTGCTTATAATATTATTATTAAAGCTTTTTTTCTTACCTGGTTTTCCATGTCAACTTTTCTTTGAAACCTGTATCTATTCACTTCAGACGATGTTTGCACCCTCAAGGGTTCTGAGACAGCTTTTTTCGGTTGCGCCGTCTTCGGCCTTCCTCTTGTTCTTGTAATTACTTTTAACAGTCTCTGGTTTTCTCTATCAATAGCGTCAACCGTTGTGTTACTGAACGACATATTTTTGCGTTCAAGAGGCGCCGGGCGCCTTGATTCATTTAGATTTACAGCACTTCTAGGCCTTGATCTAGATGCTGTAGACACTGATGAATGTCTTGAAGCTGTGTCGTCGAAATCTTTAACCCCTCTTGCATCGTCCCAATAACCCTTCGAAGTTAACTTCACTCGGGTTTCTGCTACATCTTCCATTTTTCGTTCAGTTGTGTCTCCTTGTTTTTCATTCAATTTCTCGTTAATATCTAGGACAGCCTGGAGAAGCAGATTAAGATCTATTTGATCAGAGTTTGGGTGAAGAAAATGTTCCCTCTTTAGCCGATCATCAGTTCTATCGTGACAAGTATTCCCCGTTGAATTTCGACGATGTGTTTTCGCGGACGCCATGTTTCTTTCTCGAAGCCGTTTTTATCTGTGTGACGTCATGTTGCTACGGAAACAAGTAACATCGAAAAAATCGAATCGTGGGCGCATGAAAATTTTTTGGTCCCAGTTCTCTCTCATAAACAATTTTTTTGAATATGCGATTCCACTACTAATAATTCAGCGGTTTCTCGTTGAAGAGTCACCCAGTGGAAGAATTTCTTCGTGGCATGGAAGCAAAGTTGAAAGAAAATGGCTGGTAGGTGTTTTTTTGCAAAGCTGTAGCAATTTATTTCGTTCTTTTTTCCCCTTTGTAATCGACGTACAACATCGCTTTGAATTTTCTTACCCCGCACGCTTGATTTTTCTATGCTCATTTCAGTGATAAATTTTCAGAAGTTGCGGTTTTTCGCGTCATCCACTTCAATCTAGAAGGTGTTCGTTTCGTTTTGAAAACTGTTCCAGTTTGTTTCGATGAAACGATCGTTTTTAATTGCAGGTTTCTCTCCTCCGAAGGGATTGCAGAGTGCGAAAGGGTTTGCAACAAAGACAAGCCATCGTTGCAGGAGATGTCGAGGGCAGCCCTAAATGTGAGTATTACACAAAACGCGACTTTTGACATTTTACAATCAAGGTTTCTTCTCGCGGTATATTTCTACCCCTTCGCCGATAAATAGCTCCACTTTTCGATCCTTGTACTGTACAATTTATCCATTAAACGGCGTGAAACTAACTTTACTTGTCGGTGAAGCTGTTTTCCACTGCTCATTAAATATGAACATTTTAAAGTTTAATGCCTCTGTGAATCAGCTTATGACGGGATATCCGATTGACTATTGTTTTGGTTTCCTTTAATTGATTTTTTGATGGAGTTTGCCTCCATCTCCCGCCGATCGTATATCATAACTTCATCATGCTTTTAAGCACGCTTAAAGTAATGACAGAATAAAACGCTTGTAAAGCTCAGGTATTTTTTCTTTCAATTATCTATTAGTCGTTCCATAACCTACCATAATGAGAGCGGATTTTAATTGAGTGCTGTAAAACCGCAACAAACTGATTTCCATGGCTAGTTGAGTAGCACTTAAAAAATTAAATGGACATTCCATGAATTCAGTGATGAAAGCTCTCAGATGTCAGCATCAATGGGTAAAAAAGTAGGGAGTGATGTTTAAGGTCAAATATTAACATAGTACTAAGAACACAAGTTGGATATGATTGTCTGTAGGGGTGTTGTCATGAACATGAGAGGTGATTATTGAGGTGATTTTTAACTGATTTCCAGAAGTATCATAATAGCTGGAATACTATATGTTGCAATAGTATTGTATTATTGTACTAGTCTTGTACTATGCAATAGTAAAACTATGGTGTTGCAATATTGTTATTTGTGGTAAATGGGTAAAAAGTTGTGAGATATCCCAAATTTTCAAGTGGAAAGTACTCCCAGTGGGGATTATGGGTATTGGAAGTCACATAATTACATGTATGGCTTAAAAGCTGCAGCAGTAAACATCACGTGGCAGTTATCTTAAAAAAGAGAAACAGTAAGCTTAAGTCTGCACATTTGGTGGCATGCAGCGGCCATCATCGCTAAGTGTTTTCTTTGGATTGAGCTGGCTGTCTATTGATATCGTACCTGAAAGCAAATGGCTACACCTTCAAAAGTTTTTTGGAGTTTGACTTTTTGAGAAAGCGTGAGAAATCATTTGCCAGCTAGTGAGAGCGTGTGATAGGTTGTGAAATGGTGAGACTCACGGCAAAGTTGTGAGACTTCAGGTCAAGTCTGGTGAGAAAGTTCCATTAGCTATCATTTTTGTAACTCCGAATATACCGGTTATACCTTTTACTAAAGTAAAGTGAGTCCATTTTCGCATTTATGGCTCTAATATTTGGCTTTGATTTCAAAACAAAGTACAAACCAGGCACCTACAAGCTGGGCAGTAAAGAAAATGAGGCCTTTTTTTGGCACTGAAGAGGACTGCAAGAGATTGTCAAAATACACTGATAGGTTGATGTATTGTTTCTTCCTTTGTAATATAGCCTCTGTGGCAAGCATCAAAAAGGGGTGGGGATTGATTGGAAGAAAGGGATTAAAGGAGGGAGTAGGGGAAGAGAGGGAAAGGAATACCTGCTATAAGGGCTCCCTTGGCCTGCGAAAACAGTTGTTTCTCCTCGCTCTTCGCTGCTGAGGATGTTTCGCGAGGAGGAACGTCTGCGACTCTGCGACAGAAATTCCATACTGATGATGTTAATCAATGTTTCTATAATAAATCCAGTAGTCATGGGGTTCCAAATGCAATTTTGTTCAATTTTACATTTCTCCTGGTGGATTTTGATAAAGTCTTGTGTTCATCTGCAAATGAGCTCCAGCAAAACTCAAATGCTTCTTCTAGAGAAGAATATATCCCACAAAAAATTGACTGTTTTGTTATAGATTCATTGTGTTGACATTTGACCTTTGTAGCCTTTTGTCTTTTGTCTGTCATTCGTAAACAAAAGCTAAAACAATGTAACTACTCCATAGTCCAATCAGCGCTTATGACTGGATTCTGGAACAATTTTACGTCATCAGTATGGAATTTCTGTCACTGAGTCGCAGATGTTCCTCCTTGTGAAACGTCCCCAGCGGCGATGAGTAAAGAGAAACGGCTGTTTTCGCAGGCTGGGGCTCCCTTTTTGTTCATTTTTCTGATTGGTTGAGCAAAACTGATCATTGTTTCCAGACGTAACAAATCAATGACATCAATGAAATCAATGAGTAATCAACAGGTAATCAAAGGGTAATCGGCTGATTAGTCATTGATTATATACGATGTTCAATGAGTAATCGGTGAATAATGGATAGGCCACAAAATTTTCAGTCATTGATTAATTATCAATATAGTCTCGCGGGTACGCAAACCATACCAAATCAAAAATAAAGAAACAAAGACTTCTTTGACATAAATATCATGATACGAGCTTTATTTATTCATGATCTTTTACACGGTAAGCACTCTGCAGTGACTGCGTTTCTCAATGCAGACACAGACTCTAATAGCCAAGAGAGTAAGACGGATAACTCGACCTTCTGAACATTTCATTTTTGAAATTTTAGTTCAGTTACGGTCCAAAAAAAAAAATTGGATTTGCCGTTCTGTTTTCGTCGTGGCCAATATAATTATATTGGTTTTTCTACACCCAAGTTCAATTTCCATTTGGCTGTTATTATAGTCAAGAACCATTAACGTAAATTTTTATCAGTGGAAATAAGTTAAGAAAAAAATTGCGAGAAATTGTATGAGATGTGTAATCAATGACTCACTGATGGATAATCATTAGATAATTGATGAGTAATCGAATGTATCAATTACTGATCGATGGCATCAATGAGTATAAATCAGTGTCATCAATGAGTAATCAATAGGCCACAAAATTTTTGGCTATTGATTAGTCATCGATTACCCATTGATTATAGTGAACAATTAATGACTAATAATATTAAGGTGACTCGACCCAGTTTTTTTTAGGGGGTACCATCCTACTTTGAAGCTCTCTGGTATCCCCACCTTTACTTTTATCGTAAGTCTAACACATAGAATGGATAACATATAGATTAATCTACAATATAGGCTGAGTTTGTGCTTTGGGAGTTGTCTATTGTTTCTAGTCTGTCATGATACAGCATTCTTGTTCAGCACGCGTGCAATGACCGCGCTTGGCTGACTTCCGAATATGATAATTTTGGTACAGTGAGACAGACCATCGCGTGACACATAGAGGTTTAACCCACACTTTTAATCAATTCTCGCGCTTCTTGTGCCTTTGCAAAAAAATCAAGAAGTGCTACACACTAAATCTACTTACTATTAAAAAAATATCATTTTTTCATGGGTTTAATGCAAGCCAATAATTAAACCAACTCGTGACGGGAATCCCTTTTATTTTCTTATACTAAATTATCATTTCTCGGTGAGCATTTGGAAGCCAGCCAAGTGTGGTCATTGCACGCGTGCTGAACAAGAATGCTGTATAATGACAGACTAGAAACAATAGACAACTCCCAAAGCACAAACTCAGCCAACACGCTAAAAATCTCTAATGTTTACTCAAGTTTGGGCTTATAGAAGGTAATGTCACAGTTTTTCAATGACCATGAAATTCAGAGTCCAGGTAGTTAGTTAATCAATTGTGGCCCTGAAAAGATTTGAAGGAAAAAAAACTACGAATTTTTAAGAAAATGCTTTTTTCGTGAGATTGACCCTTAAATGCTGACAAACGTTAACAAATAGTGAAAACTATAATTTCTATATGTTTGCTTTGCTCGAAATCGCACGCATTTACAAGGCCCTAAAGCGTTTTGCTGACTTGCAAGGACCCATCTGTTATAAGGATGCCCAAAATACAGAGTTGAATCTCATAGTTTATTAGATATAATCCGTGTAAAGTTTGCTTATCATTTCTGCATAAATTATGACCTAAATTTGGAAACTGCTGAATTTCTCGAATTGGGTCTTTGCAATTTTGGTGAAACTCTGTTCACCGCAAGGCACTAATGCGCACTATGTGTAGAGATTTTCAGGAAAAAATGCCGGCAACAGCAGATTTTCGACTCAGACCTCAAAGGGGCGTGGCATTATAACCACGTGACATTTACTCCAATCGCCAAAAATTTTATGTTATATTGTAGATTGATCTATATGTTATCCATTCTATGTGTTAGACTTACGATAAAAGTAAAGGTGGGGATACCAGAGAGCTTCAAAGTAGGATGGTACCCCCTAAAAAAAACTGGGTCGAGTCACCTTAAATTCAGGCTTAAATTTTTTAACCTACAAGGTTGATTCTCAGTTAATCCTCTGTCTGTTGGCCCTAATTCATGAATAACTGGGAGACAAAGCAAATAGAGAATCAACCCAGGTTAAAAAAAATTTAACCTGTATTTTCCGGACTTTTTCTTGCCCCAAATGGAAGCTTACAGCGTCGTACAGATATGTGAGAGTTTTATCACCAAGAAAGCCATGCAAGACCAGTAGTAGTGTAGTTTGACGGATGAATAGGCATTTTTGAGGTCAATCTTTGTCAGATATGCATAACTTTTGGTAAGTGATACCTCCTTGTTGACAGTCACTTAGGAATAATGTTCTTGCGTGTCAGGGTGTGAATTGACATTGCTATCTTGCAGTCTGCTGCAGTCGTGGATAAGACAGATTTTGCCACTGTCCGGTTTCGGTATTAATCCTAGTGGGCTTACTATAGTGGGTTATTCAGTTGTAATAGTGTAGTTGCCGCATTGAATTTCTTTGGGTATCGCCTTTTCAACTTTGTTGCGAACATCATCTCCAGTTGTCGATTTGTAATATATTTGTCACTTCTCCAGGTCGTAGGTCAGAATCACGGAATACAATACGAAAGCCTTCCTTTAGCCCCCTCAATAAAAAGTCACAGTCACGATCATTTGTCAGATATTCTGTCCAAGCATCAATGTTTTTGGTTAGGGAAGACAGGTGGAGAAATGTAGGGGATCCGAGTCATGTGCATTGAGTTGACATCGTTGCCTGATACTCATTTTAAGGGTGGGGCCAAGAAAAATAAAATTTGCCGCGAGGCATACATGTTTAAAGCGACATTGAGGCCAGTTGCAGCCAGACAGTGAGTTAAACTGCTGGCAGATTGGTTTTACAAGAGGAGATTTCCACTTAGAGTTTGATCATATCGTGGGGTGGTATAAGGCCTACCAATGTTCTGGTTTAACTGATTCGCTGCACAACGTTTTAAGATAAACCATGTATGAAGATGCTGCAAATCACTGCCCCAGTGAAAGCCATAATGGTGCTGAAGTTTGCAATATTTGTCCTACATAACAACAGAGACAAGGGTGTGGGTTTCTAACAGTTCCGCTACTCTTACATTATATGAATGGTAATCTGCAATTTGGGCCATGCCAGAAAGTTTTCCTGTGTTTGTCAATTTGTAGATTTTTCTCACATAATTTTGCGGTATGTGGCATGCCTCTGGGGGCATGTAGAATAATACTTGCATCTGTAGACCCACCAATTTCTTGTTTGTCCTCAATGGATCCATTGTAAGTTGCAGTGCTTACAAAGTCGGGAATAAGAAAAGGTTTTATCTCATCTCTCTTCTTGTCCTGTATGCCAAGGAACACCTGCTGGTTGTTGTCAACCCTCTCGAGGGGCACAGGCAATGGCTGTTCTGTGGCTCGGGGCGTGACAGGTTGGTCATCTAATGAAGCTCCTGCGATCTTTTTCAGTAGTTCTTCTAAACTGCCATTGCTCGCCAATGTGTTGGTAGTGACAGGCATTGTTTCAATTGGTTCTCGCCAGCCTTAGGGACTTAATTTTTCCGCACCATTCAGTTCTGCTAAGGCGTGAAGCAGGAGTTTCTTCTGTCTGAGGGTGAGGTCCAATGTGGCAATGTCATCTGCGTGGACTAACTTCAAGGCCTCTTGGGAACCCAGATCGCTTTTCCCTAGCTCATCAATCATCTTCTGCTTGAGCCCATGGTTGCTGCACCGTGTTTTAAAATCAAAGCTTGTCATGATAAAAAAATTCCAGAATTGCTTAAGTATGCTAACAACGTAAAACATTTGCTGATTGCAAAGAGAATGATACAATTGTGCTAAAAGTTCACTTATACAGTGCGGGCATAGTGTGGAATTTCCGCTGCAGTATTTAATGGTGATAAACAAGTCTATCACCCACTTAAATTATTTTGATCTGTAACATAAAAAAAAATTATTATATACTAGAAGGTGGTGATTAAAATTTATAATGTTTGTACTATTTTTACAGGCTATTTATGATATAATATTATTTTGAAATCCGTGTATGTATGTGACCGGTCAAACTGAAAATTTCTCAGCATGCAATGGTCATAAGAATTCATAAAATTATCAACATTGCAAGTATTCTAACAAAATTGTTGCTTTGATAAGATAGATTAAGCCATAACTCAAGTTTATATACATGTAAACCAGTTTTTGACCTGTGATATAAAAATTTAAACTGGAATGTGATGGTTAAAATTTATAGTGTTTGTACGGTTTTGACTGGCCTTTTATAATATTATATTATTTTGAAAGCCATGTATGTACTGTATGTGACCAGTCAAACTGAAAATTGGTCAGCAAGCAATGGTCATCTTGTTTGCACATTTTCAGTTGACAGGGCCCATTACATGATTATTGAACCCTGCATATGATAAAAAAAACCTTCTCATGACATGAATCAATTCTGGAAGCTTGTTTTTAAAAATTCATACAAATATCAGCATTGCAAGTATTCTAAAAGAATTGTTACCTTATTAAGATAGCCAGTTCAATGTTAAGCTATAACTGGAGTTTAACCAGAATGTTCTACTTCATTAATTTGCACATGAGACACCCTGGAAGGTATGGGGTGTTTTTTTGTTCCCAAGGATGTCCAATTTGGAATCTCTGGGCTCACTAGTTTTTCTCACTTAATAACATTCAATTAATTTTACTGTTTTTTTTTAACTTGGAAAATTGCAAACTTCTGAAATATCTTAGGAAAGACCAATCACAACTCACATGTACAAAGAGACAGAATACAAGAGAAAACTACACACTTCATGTAACTACGTTGCACCATTGCTGTTAGCAGTTCTGTTTTCTCATGCCTGTACTTTTGCTATTCCTGGACATGTAGTTTTTCTTACTGGGCATGTACAATACTTTCCCAATGGGCAAGGGTCTAGCTAGGCAAGTGATCCTCTTATAATATCATACTTTAATCATTAACTACATTGTAAGATGAGCAAAAAGTGGTCCTGGGCAATAAAAAAAATATACGGTGAGAGATGCTTTCCCAAGAGACTAGCTGCAACTCAAGATTTTTTTCAGCCCTGAAGTATACGTGTTTAATTTGAAGACTCTTGAAATGAGAAAATAAAGTAGGTAGTGGATTAAACAAGTGATTATCTAATTATTTTCTTTCTTTGTTAAATTTCTTTGGCAGCTGGACTTGAAACAGTATGGCATCAAACATCTTCCTGATGACATTAACAGGGGCAAAGTGCAGGAGGTATTACTTTTTTTTTCACTCTTTAAATCCAAGCTTATGGCATCCATTCTCTGCTTTGCTTGTTACAGCTGTAGTTGGCATTTTCACCTACATGTAGTTTTTGTCAGGGCTGTGCTCTAACAGAGCCTGGTGTCCGGTGCCCAACTTTTGCTCTCGGGCACCTAGAATATCTGCAGTTACCTGGAGGTTGTCACACCCGTAATGTATAATTATTCTAAGAGAAACTTCAAACTGTACTTGTGTGGGGTAGTTATTGTTGTGTTTTTCAGTCAACTTTTGGTGTCCTATTGAGTTTTTCTTTGGTGTTATTGATGGAGTCCTATGTAAAGATATTTTTCCCCTGTCAAAGTTGTCTGTGACTAGTAAAACTTATGATGGTTTAAGTGGTAGAAGATGCAAGGAACTGCCTGGGTGGTTATGGGGAGTTCAGCCGCAGTGTACATGAAGGTGTGAATGGGTTAATTGAGCCAAAACCAATTGGGAATTGCATGTATTTTTAACACGCTGGACTGCACAAAAGTGCTGAGGAAAAAAATATCCAGGTTGCATTGGGGAAGGGTTAATGACCAGTTGTGTATGACACCATGTATACATGTAGTGAAACAGGAACAAGTAGCTTTTGAGAAAAATATAATGTCTCTCTCTCCAATTGCCAGAAAATTGTGAGCAAAAGGTCCTGTAAATTCCTCTGTTTATTGTTGTTCAGGTTGCTTTGGGAAAAGGTGTGACCATTATGTTTGTTTTTTATTTCTTGTTGCTGTTTTCTCTCTCAGGTCACTGGGCCCATGATCCTTCAGGTGCAGAAGCTACGCAACATTTCTGCTCCAAAAGCAAATGAAGAGTCAATCCATGCACCACGACTGCTAAAAATTCAGCTGACAGACGGCCATTTAACATGCCATGGATTAGAAAATTCATCCATTCCAGACCTCAGGTATGAAGTTACTGTAAGTAAGAAATGGTGATTTTCACAGCTCTACACAATGCAGTGTTCAGTACAGTGGAACCTCGATTTAACAGAGTGCCAAGGAACTAGTGAAATTTGTTTGTTATATCGAACACCTTCCTGTAATGAATTTTCGGGAAAACTACCAAAATGTTTGTTATATCAAGGTATAAACTGTAATAACATTTCAGTAGCGAGCTATACATAGCTACATGTATGGCACTAGAAACTCAAGGACAGGCAAATAAAACCTGCTTAAAACTACCGTAGTCATCAATTAGATCCTTGTTGGTCTGTTTGGCATTCAATTTGTTTCATCACATGCTGACGTTTATTCATTATATTGAGGTATTTTTATGTTTGTGCTTGTGGATTTTGTTCATTATAACAAGGATTTCATTAAATTGAGGTGCGTTAAATCATCAAGGTTCTGTTCCTTACATTCTACCGAAATTTTGGCCAGGCTGAAGAAAATAGTTTGTTATAGTATAGCAAGGACTTTGTTATATAGAGGTTCATTAAATCGAGGTTCCACTGTATTTTATGTAGAGATCAGAGGTAAAAAATTAGAGATGAAGAATGAATTTAGCCAATAAGAAAACAGCAGAACCAAGGGAAAATGGCTACAGAGAGAATGAGAGGACTTTTAAATGAAAAATGGGTCAAAACATACCCCGTTGAAGTCCTGAATTTTTTTCAGGCTTCTTTACGCAATTGCATAAATTACTGTGATGATCATTTCTTCATTTTCATTTCGTTTCCGCAGTTCGTGTATGATTTATTTCATATATCATTAACACTCATTTCTTTCACAAGACATATGAACCCACAATTGACCTGCTCCCAGTATCAGTGGCTTCATAGCTCATTTGGTAGAGCATCACACCAGTAATCGCGAGGTCACGGGTTCAAACCCTGTTGAAGTCCTGAATTTTTTTCAGGCTTCTTTATGCAATTGCATAAATTGCGTTCACTGCGACGATCATTTCTTCATTTTCATTTCATTTCCGCAGTTCATATATGATTTATTTCATATATCATTAACACTCATTTCTTTCATGGGAACATATGAACCCACAATTGACCTGCTCTCAATGTCAGTGGCTTCATAGCTCAGTTGGTAGAGCATTGCACCGGTAATCGCAACATCATGGGTTCAAACCCCGTTGAAGTCCTGAATTTTTTTCAGGCTTTTTTACGCAATTGTATAACTTGCGTTCACTGCGACGATCATTTCTTCATTTTCATTTCATTTCCACAGTTCATATATGATTTATTTCATAAATCATTAACACCAAAAGTGTATTATTGCAAGAGAGGGAGAGCAAACAGACTAGTACGCTGTTACGAAGTAATAAGGAAAAAAGAAGGAGTCACTAACCCATAGCACGCATAATTCATAGTTTTGTAGTAAAGGATGTTCGCTTATTATTGGGTTCATTTAATACAGTTTTCACAGAATTAAACAGGAGTTCTATCATGAAAGAAAATTTATTTGAATGGTAACAATTAAAGATTTTTTGCTTCCCTTATGCACTACACATTGGAAAAAACAGTGAACTCAGAAATTCAAAACCTAACTTGAGATTATGTGTAACAGGCTGCTGAGAAAAAGAATTATAGCAAAAACAAACCAAAATTTTCCAATCCCAACACTCAGAAACGACTTCTTGAACCTGCCAAAAGATTTGTTTCCTAAGAGGTCCACTAAGGTTCACGAATGACGGCATTTAAACATAAAACCACAGATTGAGCAAAAGTTGCATGTTTTTGAAAGATTTAAGAAGCAGGAGCATTGTATGTTTCTTTCGTTTCTTAACAGCTTGTCAATTCCTCCTGGCACCAAGATTTCTTTGACAGGTACCATTACCGTCAAGGAAAACTTTCTGATGCTGGACTCAAATAACACCAAGGTTTTGGGAGGAGAAGTAGAAAAACTAAAAGAAAAGTGGGAATTGAATAAGGTGAGCATTAATTTATTGTGACTTTGTAGGGTGGTAAACTGATACACTGTATACTGCAATCAGCTAGCAGATTACAATACCTTTCCGTTCATCCTCACCCCCAGTTTAAAGAAAAAATGTCTTACCATTACATTACATTGCACGACAAATTAGCAGAGACATTAAAATGTGCAAAAAAGGCAATGTTTGCATACACTGTATGTCTTTTGAGATCAATCTTGCATACTTAATAATTTGTACACCCAATTTCACATCAAGAATTTACTCATTTTATTATAAAATTTTTATGTAGAAGGTGTAGCTTGTTTTATTTCGTATTTTGTACTAATTTCTTGTGCACTAATCAACAGTGGTTGAATGTTTTAGGTAAAGTTTCTTTTCTACTCTTTTTGTTGACTTCTTAAGTAAAAGAGCGCAACTTTTGGCAACTCCCTGTATCACTAAAAAAAATTTATTATATAAACACCGATGAAATACCAGGTGAGCTTTCGCGTGAAAACATGATATCTTCACATGTGACAATAAAATGTTATCTTCACATGTGAAAATATCACCGTTGCTAAGGCTACGTAATAAATCGCACTTTTCACACCAAAAAACTATTAAAGTGAAATGGTTTGGTATTTCATTGGTGTTTATATAATAAATAATAGAGCATTACATGGCCGCTCGGAGATACAAAATTTCTCTTCTCGTGTTGAAATTTCATGAGTGAGCGCAGTGAATGAGTGAAATGTTTTTCAACACTCGAAGAGAAATTTCGTATCTCCGTGTGGCCATGTAATATCCTTTATATCTTATCACCATACATGTATTGTATGCATGTATTGAGTAAAGCTTTTAATCAAAGCACTGAAAATATACATGCAAGTAATGATATTTTTTCTGCTTTAATGTCACATTGTTCATCCACAAAAAATAAAGGTAAAGTAACCATATTTTTACATGGTGTGCAACAAACACAGACCGCAGACTGGTGGGTAAATGAGGTAAACATTGTTGTGAAATTAATGCTTTAACAGATTCCCTATCCTTAAAATTTAAGTCTTTTAAAAGTATAGTTTAGGGATAGGGAATCTGTTATAGCATTTCACAACAATGTTTACCTTCTTTACCTGCCAGTCTGTGCTTGTCACACACCGATTTTTGCATGGATAACTTGTGACAGTAATTGATATACTTGAGGTCGACGGTGCTTAGTTTTAAGGGTATTTAAAGCTAGCTAAAACTACATAGGAGAGGAGTTGAAACAAGGAAGTGAAGTCACCGGGGATTGAACTCAACCAGGACCTTACGCACCAAAGGCTGCATCCTTGCTCCATAGCATATTTTGAAAGTTACAGTTGGAACAAAGCTTGAGCACAGGCAAGAAATTGTTCGAAGTTTTACAGAACAATAATAATTTCTTTTGTTTAACTGTAGACCTTAGCAAAGCATTCACGTATGGCTGTCAGCGGTGATGGGCCTCCTCCATTTGTTCCATTTGGTCAAGGACTGCAGACTGGTGGTGATAGCAAGGGAAGATCTTCTGACAGCACAAAAGGTGATTACTATTCTAATGTAGAAAAAAAATTCCACTTTTTTGAATAGCAGACTTTACTCTATTTTTTCCCCCAAGAATTGGACAGTTCACAAGTGGGCAGGGAATGTGAGAACGAAAAAAAGGAGAGGATCGTCTAGTTTTTCTGTTCCCGACTCTTACCACCTTGTGCTTGCTGTGGTTTTTATTTTCATACACGCTTGATGATCCCTAGAGAGAGAGAGAGAGAGAGAAAGAGAGAAAAAGAGGTCTTAGTCATGTTCTACATGTGAGGGGTTCCGGGGGAAATAGTACTGTTATGTCATGTTATCTGCTTGAGAAAGGTTTTTGATTTTTTCAATAAGAATTTCGTTACATTTGCTTAATAGACCTCTTTAGCTTGGTATGTGTTGTGGTTCATTTTTGTCCCTGGTTTGAATTTAATTTTACGTTGTTTGAGACTCATTATCATGCATTAAATGTACATTACGCCTGAAAAGTAATAAATTTACACCCGGGATTAATTTGAACCACAACATAAAGTGTAATACAAGGGATCCATCCTGACAAGTGGATAAGTCTTGCTGAAATCAATATCGTTATTGATTGGAGAGGGACTTATCCAGTGAATAGGGTCATCTTTTAAACGTCTGGGGCGTGGTCTCTGGAGTATACCGCAAATGACCTAATAAACGTTCCCTCCACTATACGCTGTTAAAATTTTATTAGAAGCCCCTCTCTATTAAACGCCCCCTGTCTCATAGACGTCCCCTATGGGAATGACTCCAAAATACTAGGAATTAGCAAGAAGGTGAAAAATCATCCAAGCCGGGAGTATTCAGTTTTGCTGGATTAACAAGGCTTTGCGTATTTCATCTTGTTCGATGTCAAGTTTAAAGTAAGGATAGACTAACGATGGCAACAGGGCTATTTATACGAGGAAAAATAAGACGCGAACTGTACCATTTATACGAGCATGTCTTATCTAAGACGAAAACAGATCGTATAAATGGTTTGCGTCTTATTTCTGTTCTTGACTCGTTTCCATGTGAATGTAGCCCTTAGCAACAGCAATCCAACATGGCGCACGTTTCAAAGTTCCGGTGTCATGTTGCGATTTGCCGCAGAGGCAATATTTTGCAGACCTTTTTAATGAAAATGGCGGAGTCTTCCAGGAGGTCTGCTATTGCCCTCTCCTTGCATAACAACAAAAAATCATTGTCTTCAGCGGTGGACCACGTGTTTCGTTTTGCCTTTGTCGGCGTACTCGTTTTACTTGAGCGAAGAAACAAATAAAGGTTAAAAGTTTCAGAATAGATGGCAACCCATGGAAACGAAAGCGCGTTGTAATTTGTAAACAACTCTTCCCTGCCAGTAGCCTGCCAGTCCACCGTGGGGCAAGTGAAAATTTTCCCGCCAAAAATTAATGGATGCGCACTATGCTTTCTCGTCTTACCTAAGATGCGTCTTATCTAAGAACAGGTGTTAAGGGCTGTTCTAAAATACTACGCGTCTTAGCTAAGTCGCGTCTTATTTTAGACGAAATGTGCCGTTTGTACGGAAAGTTCGCGTCTTATGTAAGACGCGTCTTATTTTTCCTCGTATAAATGGCCCTAATAACTCTAAGCGAGGATTCTGACATCGTTGTTGACGGGATTTGAAGGAGCAATAATTTTATGGATCTCTGGACGGCCTAGAAGTATCAATTGATAGAGTGGATATTCCGCTATTTGACTTCCTTATAATGCAACTGGATTATTTTTCTTACGTCATAGTTAATGGCATAGTTCAAAGTAGCACAGAGAAACCCAGAAACCAGCAAAGCAAGGACTCTAACCCGCCATCAAAAGCCAGATCATTCGATAGCAGCAGGAATAACAGGCCCACCAATCATGATAACAGGGACAGTGGATACAAGAAAATAAATAACAATAATAACGGGCAAGACAGCAGAGTTGAGGACAGGAAGGGTACAGGTGACAAAACAAATAACAGATTCACAGCTGAAGAAAGACCTAGTTTGACTCATTCAAAAGAAAGAGAGGGTAGATCTGTTAATTCTGAAGCAGCAAACAATGACAGGTCAAGACAGGGCTTTAATCCAACAGATGAAAACAGAAATAACAGCAGAACAGATCAGAGGAGTGAGAGATCAGAGAAGCCACCATCCAGAACTCAGGTGAGCTGACAAAATTACCAGTCACGCTGCAGTGCTGCTAATAACATTACCGGTTTTATTGGATTAAACGCCGCGGCGTTTATTGAAGTTTATTCAATGGCGGCGTTAATTTTAAAATCACATTTCGTGAATCACGAAAATCAATTGTAAATATTATGTGAAACAGAAAGATATTTAAAGTTCCAATATCCCGCTTTATGGCCGAGAAATAATCGCGATTTTCTGGTTGTTTTAGATTTATAATCCCTTGAACAAACGGCGTATTGTTTTGTTTGGGTGTGACATTTATGCGAATTCGGCGTTTATTGACAATTTGTTTCGATCTGCGGCGTTTACTAGAGGGCGGTGTTTAATCGAGTAAATACAGTATTCTTGTTGGTCATCGGATAACTGGTCTGACACTGATGATGTCTTTCCGACATAGCCAATTATAAAAGACTATGTAGGATCTGCATTGTGAATTGCGCGTGTGAATTGTCTTTCCATAGTCTTGATTGGTTTGCTAATGCAAGTGTGTAAATACAAATCATTTTTGACAGGAACCGAGCAGGGGTGGTGGGAGGCTGCGAGGCCGTGGTGGAAGGCGTGATTCAGGAGGTAAACTTTTTCACTTAACCTCGCTTGCGTGCTGACTGCTGTCAAATAAGAGAAATTTGCAAATACTAAACTCGTTATTTAGAGCTTTTCTCGTGTTGTCCCTACATCCCAAGTGGGTTATCACGTCGGTAAACCCATATAAAGTGTGATCTATTGCTTTTATAAAATAACTTGATGTAAAACGGAGTCTTATAGTGTGATTTCTATACCGTAATCAAGTCGTGTCTTCTCAGTCTCTTAAGTCATCATAAGCCAATCACGACTCACGATTTATAGCGCCGAACTTTCTCAAAACTCAGTTCTGTCATACAAAAAAACAGAAGCACTTCAAAAAACGAGTTTTTGCACTCATTACATGAGGACTTATGAAAGCTGTTTTACAGAAAAAGTCAACACATATTCATGTTAATATACACTGGAAGAATACATTAATGGTGTGGTTAAAACAGAAAGAGAAGGTTGAACATCAGTCTGTTTTGTTGCGTCGATCCGTAATTTCGTGTTGACAGACGGAACTGGCAGCTATTCTATTTTAGGGCGAAGGAAGAAAATTCGTAACCCTAGCCTGTAGCCACCTTAAACACGTACTGTAATATGCACGGAGATGATGCCATTAAGGCCCACTGTGCTGCGCCTGCGCTACCCAAACTGTTTGCTGAACAATAACACGAGACGAAAATCGTTGTTTTACTGTGCTTATTGTTTCTTAAATTACAAACAAATTCTCCTCTCCATCACCATAGAAACTGTATGGAAGATGGTGTGGAGAATGTGCCTTTTGATATTTTCCTTTGTTGCCCTATATGAACAGGGAGATTAAGAGGTGAGAATGAGGATGTTGATGATGTGGAAGACTATAGAAGTAGGCAGCCTTCGGAACCAGCTCTCTGGGATTTTCTGTCCACGAAATTTCCAGCAGTTAAAGGTTTGTTCCATTTGATGTGCTTGAAAAATATAAAACGGCAGGTGTTAAAAAGTGGCATTTTATGAAAGAATAGAGATAAAAAGTTTGCGGTCATTATCTAGTGCGAATTTGAAATCAGTTTGAAAAATTCTAAGCTGAAACGTTGTGTTTTATCTTTCATTTGGTAATCTTTTCTTGTCATTCTTATAAAGTGTTTTACTAAGGTTTATGTTACACTTGTGTAGATGATAACAAAGATGTGACGTCATGAAACGCAAACTTGTGGTGTTTCTGTGAAGTATTAACATTTATGGTATCACTCCCTTGATCTACTTGTACAATATGGCGCCAACAGTGGAAACTTTGATCTTTCCTTTTTTCTCGCTTTTTTAGCGGGGAAGGTTTTTGACGCTCCATTGTCTGGATAGCAGCTGTCATCCAATGAACGTACAAGAATTTCTTGACGTGTAGATTTAGGAAATATAATGTATGCATATTTTTCAGTGAGATTTTAATGCAATGTGACTTTTAGTCATGGTCTCCAAAGGAGACGAATTTACATGAATTGACAATTGTTTTCGAAATGAAATGTTATTATTTCTGTTGTTGACACACTCCTCCCTAATTCGTCACGATGCGACGTTTGTCTTAACACCTTTACGTCACATAATCTTACAGATACAAAGAACGAAAAGCCTCTGAAGTCAATAGAAAATCAGAAGACTGATGAAGCACAGCAAGAAAGACCGCCCCCTAGACCACCACCTAAACCTGACAATGATTTCAAACCAAGACAGCAAAAGCAAGATCCTCGAGTGGAGAAAAGCGAGAATGCTTCTCCTCCAAGACAACAGCAAGGTGATGGACAGGGTGAATATGCCACCCCCAGAGCAGTGGAGAAACAAAGACAAGAATCGTCAGCGCAGCACAGAGATGGCAGACAACAGGGGAAGCCACAGAGGGAGCCGTATTATAAACAGCAGCAGAACGCTGGTCAGACAAAGGGGAAGGGTTCTAGAAGACATGATCATGATTCCAGACCATATAATCAGAGCTTACCACCAAGGCTGCAGAAGAAGCAACAACAGCAGCAGCAGCAACGGCAGCATCATCAGCATTACCAGCATCATAATCAACATCAAACCGAGACAGACGTCAGCAACGACGTGACAGAAACTAACGCTACGAGCACGCCTTCCGTTGCTCAGGAAGATGATGCTATTATAACATTCAGTGCAGCGTCTGCCCTTCGCCAAACTGAGTATGTAGAAGAACCGCCTAGTCAAATGTCACAGCAAGTGCAGTTTCAAGAACCTCAGGGTGTGCCATACAGTGGTCAGCAGTTTGCAGGGTCGGGAGGGCAGGGCAAGTGGCAAAGGAATACTGAGCATTACAGGCGGACTAGTTTTACCCCTCCCAACGTTCAGCAACAGCAGCAGCAACACTTGGAGTTCGTGAGCATGGCTATGGAGACCCAGCGTTCCCAGGCCGCACAGTTTGTGATGAGTCAAACAAAACCGTACTTAGAACAGGGTGTGCAAGAGCAAGCGGATATGAACTTGGTGCAGGAATATCAATACGCACAGCAAACCCAACCTCCTGTCCAAGCCTACCCAGTGTATCAACTCCGTCCTGCTCAGATACCTCAACAGCAGATGATGCCACAGCAGGCCATTCCACAGCAACCAGTAGCTGCTCCTATGGCAGCAACACAGGTGTTTATTATTTTTCACTGTTTTCTGTCAGAACCATGGTGTCTATAAATAGCGGTGGCGTTAATGCTGGAATAAGCGCTCTCCGAATCACCGCGCCCCGTTAGCCTATTACTATTTTAATTTAAATTTTACCCCTTTGGATAAGCACCTCTCCCCTCCTTAAAACCCGTTCTGACTGAAAATGCGGTATGAAGTATGTTTATCTTTATTGAATGTAGCATCACAAGTACGATCACTGGAGAATGACCCCAGTGAGGACATCGCACGGCCTATGTCAACGGTGCTGTTCCTCTGACAATAATGCGTGAGACAGAGTTTAGTCACAACAGAATGCTCAGGGCTAAGAATATGCAACACACACGCGCGCAACACGAATTTTGGCTATATGCTGAAAGATACCTTCTTAAGTTCCTGCTTTCGTTCATTTGAAACAAAGATAAATGCCATCTACGCAGTAATTTTTAGGGAGTTATTATAACTCCAAAAATGGAGTAAAACGTTTAGGTACAGGATAACCCCTTTTTGGGGGTTACTTTAGTTATTATAACTCCTTGATAATTACTGTGTAAAGGGCGAAATTCTAGAGAATGATATAAGCGTCCCCATTCAAATAATAGTAATACCCCTCCCCTTTGATTTAGCGCGACCCCTCACGAGTAAAATAATTAAATACTCGGACCTGGGCTTGAATAAGCAGTCGAACTCAGATTGTTTCTATTTATTTTCAGGTTGGTTGGAAGAAGGGAGATCACTGTTTGGTACCTTGGAGAGATGGGCAGGTAAGTGACTTTTTCTTTCCTTTGATTGCTTACCATATTCTAATGGAGGACCGTGATATTCATGACCTTTAGTTTTGAAAAGAGACTGAATCAGTACGAGGATGGAATTTTGAGCCAACGGTATCTCCGGCATTCTTTAATACTCCTTGCTATCACTGATTGGCACATAGAGAACTTGAGGGATAGGACTAGTATTAATAACAAGTGATTATTTGTCACACTTGAACTTGGATTGAAAACTCGTACTTGATCTCGAAGACCTCGGGCAGTATTCTTTTAATGTTTTTAATGCTGTTATGTTGTATTGAGTTATTTTTTTCTAAGTATTTGAGTGGAGTGCCTCTAAACTAGCTGGATAAGTTAACTGCACTTTCCACTATACAAGTTTTGTTTTGTTGTTGTTTAGCCTGTGAACAGCAGACGCATTTCCGGTCGTCGCTTCTCTCCCTCCGAAAATAGCTATTTTTTCGGAGGGAGAGAAGCGATGACCGGAAATGCGTCTGCTGTTCGCAGGCTAGTTGTTGTTGCGCCCGGATGGAAATTTCAAAATCAAAACCTCCAGGAAAACGGGCACGGTTGGTAGCTAACAAACCGTTCTTTTTGCGTTATTAACTGATAGTTGTATCATGTTATCTGCGAAGCTCTCTTAAGATCTGGATATCGAATGTAAACACAGCAAACGTAAAGGAGATTTATGACCCCATTAGTTACTGGGACTGTCGAGAACAGCCCCTAATCAGATCTCGATGAAAACTTCATCTGCACAGTGGCAATCACAGGAAATTGCGTGCGTGCATGCCTAAATGATTTCGAAAGAATTACGCGACAACCCAGTAGGTGGTACTACTTTATTCAGATATACCGGTATATTTTATCAGTATCCTTGTTTTAGTCTCGGCAGTATTTCGTTCAAGTTATTTAATTCAACCGATTGCATCCTTGATGCAACCTAATACAGTTTAACCTCTCTACAACGGCCACTTTGGGGACAGAGGAATGTGGCCGTTAGCGGAAGTTCGACTGTTATGCCTCGGTTGTGTTTTTAGAGTTTTTTTGGATGGTCTTTTAGAATTTTGTAAATGAAGTAAATGGGGTGGGGTCCAAAGGATGAAAATTTAACATCACGGAAGCAAGGAAAATTTGATTGAAAATTAAAAAAAAACCTACGAAGCCGAGGTGATATGAAGGTGCCTTGGGGACGAGGCTTGTTATGAGTTGCTCGTAAATAGGCTCTTTGGGGAACTTGGTCACGTGCTTGGATACCACTTAGCTACGACTCGGTGGATGGTAAGCCATCCAAGTGTTCATTCAGATCACAAAGATTGGAGTGCGATCGGACGAGGCCTTCGTACGTCAATTCAAACTTCTTTAATTACAGAATTAATAAACTAGGATAAATTCGCAGTCGAAGCTTTGCGATGGGAATGAACGTTTGTAAGTTGTATCCTAGACTTGCTCACAAGTCGAGCTCAAAATTTTTCTCAAGCGCTAAGCGCGAACTAGAAATTTGTTAGTTTTCGGTGGCAAAGCGAGAGAGAGAGTGCTGGACTACTACCGAAACCGCAAACGAGAAGCGAAGGACTTTGAGAAAGTCGTAGTTGTATCCAAGCAAATGACCAAGTTCTACAAAGTGCTCTTTGACAGGGTTACCGGTCGTTTCGATTCAAACTCGTGTCGATAAAAATTTATTCAGCCGACTTGTGAATTGTTTCACGTACTTGGCAAAATGTTTTTCTTGCTTATGCGCAAGCTTTTCTTGAAGTGACCGAAATCTTTGTGCAATTTCACTGCTTGAGTTTGTATCGAAACGATCGGTTTCCATTGACAGTAATCAATGTATTGTCATATCTTGGTAGTATTACAGTGCTAAGATGGAGGACCTGATGCCAGACGGTGTCAACTGTGTGGTTTCGTTCTTGGATTTTCATAACAGCTGTGATGTTGTGCCTCTCTCGTCCTTGCGACCTTTTCCTATCATTGCTTGGGTAAGAACTTAAAAACATTCTTTGAAGGCGCATTTACATCACAGAAAGATAACGCCTATTACATTTTCACAAGTAGACCAGAAACTATACCGAGGTGTGGTGACAATATGGTAATGCATTACAATCATTGTTTTATTCCCATTTACCAACAAACATACAAAGCTATCTATTTTGATACAAATTTAATCAGAGCAGACAAAATATGAGTTGCTCCAACTTTATAGGCTCATACCTGAATTGGAACCGATTACTCTTTAGCTTTACTTACAGGATCACTGATGATAACTTTTTGGATTAATTGATTTTGTAAAGTCTTTTATAATATTATACTGTTGAATCTTGCAGTAGGCTGAAGATGAAAAGGAGCGAATCGATTGTTCTGATTGGCTTCGCAAGCGGGGTAGATAGGTCCATTATTTTCCCGCGTTGGAAGCGCAAGAAAAAATTCTCTTTTTTGGCCATTTAATAAACCCTTTATTGACCAAATGATGGCTGGGTATTGGCCTTGTTCTTCTTTGACGTTGTTATTGACCTCGACTTTGTCTCGATCCATAATTGGCTAATATCCAGTCATCTTAACCTAACGTTTCTTCAGTAACGCATATGTCTTTTTCAGGGAGACAGTGGCAATTCACAGCCCCAACCAACAGGAGCTATTGCCACGGTACCTTACTATACACAAGCAACACCCGTCAACATCGTGTCCAGACCCCAGATGGTTATCCCTGTCAGTGGACAGCCTCCATTTCATGCTGGGACCAGACCAACGTTTGTTCACTCGGCCCAAGTTCCCCCTCAAGTTCACTGGCAGCCTGCAACGATGCAGTACCAAGAAGTGCGGGCAGCAGCCTTCCAACCTGTAATGCATTATGGGGCTGTGCCACAGGCATCCGCAGGGGGTCCTGGTCAGGCACCTTATGGAGTCCCTACTGGAGGTGGTATGCATTACGTCAGAGGCGTCAAGGATATCCAAGGACAAGGTGTGAGAGATTGAAACAGCAAACACAGATCATTTTATCTGCAAAATAGGCACAATTATAGTGATGCCTTCAGATGTTTTTTGTGATGCTAGAGGCTACATACTGCTTATTCTCGAATTAGTGTCCTCCTTCAAATAAGTGCCTCATCTGAATTAGCTTCCCCGGCCCTTCTGAGGCTAAAAACATTGATTTAGCACCAACTTTGCTAACCTGTTTACCGTACCTTGGAGGGACTTCTCACTCGCTCAGCTTAATACTGTAGCGGCACTTTTTGGTGACTGTCAACTATTCAGCTTTGCCCGCAGTCCAAATCTCCAGGGCCGGGTTTTTCGAAGCTGCGTTAAGATAATCCAGGATTAGTGCAAAATTTGAACTCAAATATGAGAGCTTAAAAAACAAGTTCAGTTTAATTCTCTTTGCCTACAATTTGATGATTGGATACTCTAAAAAGAATATAGAAAATTATCCGAGAGAGCGCTTTTGATAAAAAGAAAAAGAAACCCGGGTTAAAGTTTAACCCCGGGTAAGCGCTAACAGGCATTCTAACAACTGGGCCCAGGTTGCTATTAAGCATGCGCGGCACTCGTGTAGCCAGCATTTGTTCGGCCTTCCACTAAAGATAAATGGAATGGAAAAAGCGCTCCAACTTCCAAGCAGTAATTCGATCGGAAACGCTTGCTACGCAGGGTATCATTAGCAAACTTGGAATGTCTGTGTTGTATCGCTTTCTTACAGATGTGTACAGCAGTAACCCTGAGGGTGGAAGAGGAAGATCGAGTCCAACTTCAAGTGGTTATTCCAAACCAAGAAGACCGAACAGAGCAACCCAGAGTTATTACGTACCGCCAAGACAACAAAAATACAAAGACAAAGGATAGCAAATGGACCATGGTAATTGTTGTCCTCTTGTGCAATAAATTATGTGTACCTTAGTTCCGGCAGGGCTAAAATACAGGTCACTTTTCCACAGGTCAGAGTACAAGTCACCACGATACAGATAAACGAACAGCATTAAACAGCATTAAAAGTGTCTCCTGACACTTTTCTCTTAACAAAATGCTCTATTAGATCGAGGGGAATCTGTGTGGTTTGATAATTTATCGATGGAGCATTGACCTGTACTCTTGACCTGTGGAATGTGACTTGTACTTTAGACCCGCTGCCCTAGTCCTGCTTATAGTAATCTGGCAAAGGCGATACACGCCAACTGCTCCCGAAATGATATATATATATATATCTATATCATTTCTGCGTAGAAGGTTTATGCTTTTTGAATTCTAAAAACTAGATAAGCCCCTCTTTTAAACCCTGTCCACACTAGTGCGTTTTTGCTTGAAAACGCGTGCGTTGTAACTCGTTTTTGCTTTGCGCCCAAACTAAAACAAGCAATAATCGAGGTTTTCGAAAGCAAATCTTTTTGAAAGGGGTGGGGGGTTGAAGACGTTCTCAAAGGGAGACGTTTGAAAACAGAGATGTATCGTTTTAGTTTGGACGAGTGAAATGGAAGGTTTTCAAAAATCCTGACGTTATACCCACCTCGCGACCCGTATTCGTCCATGACCAAGCATTACAACGGAGGAAACTGAAACCAGCAAGTTCGTTAATAGCCAGGCGTAAGTGGTAGGTGCCGGTTACGTTTTGGTTAATTTTTATAGAGCACGCGAGGACGTTTTCGATGGCTTTGTGTGGACGATCGAAAACGATGTTAAAACGTTTTTGTGGACGTACAGCGTTTGATGCGTTTCTGTTAATGCGAAAACGCTTTAGTTTGACAGGGCTTAAGTACATTATTTATATCAGGAAAGGTAGTATTTGTAGTATTTTATGTCCATAAGTCCCATTTCTTGGTTTTGCAGGGGAGCATCTCCTTAAAGTGAACAAAAGGGAAGGGAGGGGTGGGATGGTAGTTTCCCAGAATCCATACTGATCTTTTTTGGATTGGTACAAGATTCCTTGGTTTTTTAGGAAAGAATGCAAATCTTTCGGTTGATCTTAAAGAAAACAGAACAAATTCCTTTAGAGTAAAAATATGAAAATATTTTGATCGTAAAAGTTTCGTTAAATGTTTCTTTATGAGAAGAGCAAATTATGATGGGAATTTACGACGTTTGAACGATATTTTGAAAATGTATTTTTGTCCTCCAGTTTGTTGTTGTAAAGTTTGTCTCCGGCTTAGCGGATGAATACAAACTCCATTTTTATTTTAAACATTATTTTTCTCAAAAGTCGGTTATGAGAAGCCCTAAATTGTCCCTTTTTTGTTATGTTTGGCCTAACGTAGAATGTTGGCTGTCTGCTTTTACAAATTAATTTAAGACTACTAGAACATGCTTATCGTCTGGCAAGTGTTATCTTCTTTTAGTAGATACCTTACGAAACTACGACGGCAAAGGCAACATCAAAAAGCAATTGGTTTAGAGAGCAAAACACCAACTCTGCACGTGCATCACGCTTTTCGTACATTTCTTTGCCGTCCTTGCACAACTACGATGTGAGGACGGGAACGGCAAGGTGATAAATTCTACCATCTCTGTCTGAACTCGGGTGCGGCCCCCTCTCTTCAGTTCCAACCTAAATTCCCTTCTTTTAAGTAACAGGGCGACTTGGGAAAATCGCGAAATGGTTTGAAAGAATGCGGAGTCCATTTGTCAGTGACGTTTTCATGGATGTCGCCGTCGTCGGATCGTAAGGTCCGTAATGGAAAACCAAGCTATTGCGCCTTCTTCACCCTTTTTTTTTTTTTTTTTTTTTTT